ACAAAGTTATTTTTAATTTTCCATCATTTTATTTGATTATTATTAGTAAAGAACAACTAGGTTATCGTGATCGAGTTTTCCTTTTCGCCTTCAATTTAAGTTGCTATTTATTTACTTCATGAGTTTATTACTTATTCTTTTTAGTGTCAGTAATAAGTTATAAACCTTTGAAGATTTTCTTTTTCTAGCAGAAATTCTGTAGCCTGCATTACGGCGAATTGTGGACAGAAAACGATTTTCTTATCTCAGTCAGCTTAACATGAGTAAACGCTCAGCGTCGGCCTAGCCTATCTAAATTACAGGGTTGTCTCTCCGTAGGCTCTAGTTAATGTCTCTTACAATGTTAACGACTTCATTGTTTAATAGGTAATTGTTTTAGTAGAACTTAACATAAAATATGTAGAAGAGAAATTATAATATGTAATTTATTCTCATTTTATGTTATCTTAGAAAATATTTTATGGTTTAATACGGTTTAACACCTAACGGCCAAAAGGCCGGAGACTCATTAAGCCCCGTACTAGATAAATCGCTTATTACGTAAGTAATAAATCTTAATACTAATAGCAGCCAATAAATTAAACCCACATAGACCTACATACAAAACACCCATAATGACTATTCTAAAACATTGAAAATATTTATAAAATTCAAAGACTTACGCTCGGTTTCTGAAACACGGATCATCGTAGAAGTTAATTAATCAGCTGTCAAATGGCTTTTCAAATATCATTTGAGTTGCCAATAGAATGGTTAAACTCTCTGAATTGAATGACCTTCTTAATTATCAGATTAACTTCTACGGTGATCAGTGTTTCGGAAACCGGGCGTAAGTAATCCATAGTATGTTTGGATTCTTCATACACCTTCATGTTTAATTACTGTATTGTCATTCATACTTGAGTTCTTTCTTAATATCCCGTCACGATGTCAACAGAGGCCAGACCAACAATTACGAACGCACGGAAATTGATGTACCTATAATCTATATTTTTCTCGTTTGGCTTGAACTTTGGTAAGACATGGTTTTTCAATGAACAGCTTATGATGCAGCTCAGTGAAGTAGCGGAGAATAGGTATCACGGTTTTGTTGCAAGTTTTTATATAATTATCATGAATCGATACCATAATTATAGGATATGATGATTGATAACAAATTCTAAGACAGTTGACCTATTAAACATATAAAGAGATAAAGAAAAGAATTATCAGCATGTTTAATATTTACGAAAGCTGTTTTGTTTTCATTTTCAATTCGCAGAAAATTTCTAATGAAAGGAAAAAAAACATCTCGAAATAAAAATAACTTCCTTACCTTCGGCAATAACGAGGGGGGCGGCGATTTAGTTAAAATTCAGAAAGTGAACGGTTCAACAAAAACATCTTAACTGCAGAGCGTCTAATGCATGGGAATGTGCTTATTGCCAACGATAATAGTTAACGACTATTCTTTTCGGCTTAAAGCTATAAAGTGCTCGATACTGTGTTTTCTTTACAGTGCATATTCATTCTAATTTCTAACGTATATTACACAATTAGGCAGTCGTGTTCGATGATTATTCGTTACTTTATTTAAAACGTAGTTGTTGCCTACAGTAACTCTTAGTTAGAGGTACAGGAACGAATTTCAGTTGAAGCGCGCCGCTAACTTTCCATTTCCGTGAATTTCATAAATTTCAACTCACTTAATCTGACATTGGTTTCATTATATATACATTTATATTAATAATACCCCTAATACAATTTCTCTCAATGTTCCAAGAAGCTGAAGGAATGAAAATGAAAAATACTCATCATTTGGTAGGTGTCGTCGGTATGTCAGGTTGTCAGGTCCATCAATGCGTAAAAGGATCGCATGGACACCGCTCACGGAATTCAGAAGGTATCCATTTCTTAGTATTTATAAAACTAGGTCTATCAGAGAATCATAATTGAGAAAAAAGAAGAGCTTTATTAACAGGTAAGGACGGCAATTATGAATTGGTAATTTGGGCGGGAATTTCTTTAACGACATATCACCCCCATAACTGTAGTGAAGTAACGGCCTATAAATGTCTCACAGCTGGGAAAAGGAATCCTCTGTAATGAGGGTATGAGGCCATCGTCCACCGAGCGACCCCAGTGGATTGGCGCACTTCACATATCTTCGATGTTTTTTTGTTATTATTTCTAAAATATGTATAGGTTTCCTCATGGTGTTTTCCTTCACCGCTGAGAACGTGATAAATCAACACTTAAAATTTGCAATTTTATTGGCACCGGAGATCAAACTCAGGTTGCTCGAGTAAATTGAATTAAAGGCGAACGCCCTACACAGCGAGATACAGAGCTGTCACGGCTAACTATAGTTACACAGATTGATTTTTTAGACGAAATACATACTTTGTCATAATGTTAATTGAGCATTCCATAACTCAAAAAAATATGAATATTTTATTTTACCAGAAAAATATCAATTCAAACATTGTACGTTTATTCCGTTAAGAGTGGTCCCTGTTGATAAGCGGTTTAGTAATTATGCTTTCAGTGAATAGTTTTAGTTCTCGTCAATAGGTTATTATAGTAAGGCAGGAATTTCTTAAGATGTCCATGTTTGAAAAAATTAAAAATGATCTTTGAAAAAAAAAAAAAAATGATGGTCACAAGCACGTACCAAATTCAGATTTAAAATCAAATACTGCATATGCTTTCTTAATAATATGACCGTCGTCTATAAAATCACCCTGTATAAATCTGAAAATATTCAACTGTAGTTATGATAATTTTCAGATTTTGTGTGAATGTTATTTTGTTATACAGAATATCATCTGTATGCACCCACCAAAGATTAAATTTTTCGAAACGAACATTATATATCTCTCGGGCCAGTGAAGCAACTTTGACAAAAATCTCAAACTATATTAAAAGTTAAAAGGAACTCTTGCTACACTAGAAAGTGTACAAAATTCAATAGAAAAGCTATTCAAAACTGAAATTGAGCGTGAAAATGAAGTGTCATTTAACTATATTGTAAGACGAACTCATCCCGTTAAAGAAAAATATAAATACAAAAACTTGGAGCGCTATTTTTTTTACCCAATTGCTCAAACAGAAAATAAATATTTTTCTAAATACTATATAAAAATGCCATTAAAACTAAATACTCCCTTGTTCTTAACTATATGAAAAATGTGTCATTAATAGCTACCTAAAAGTGGTTCGGACAAAGATAACAGTCAGTATTTAATAGGTGCTTTTGTCCAGTATATCTGTCAGTAATAATTTTTCGGAACCAACAATGAAATCCAGATTGAATTTCCGACGAGAGAATACAACGCAACATTTTTTCTCAAACACAAGCCGATTTTCCTTACGTTTCAGACATGAAGAAAAGTCAATTTTTTTTCGAGACATGATCGCGACGATCGCAGTCATGATGTAAGCTGCCGAGAGTTCGGTGTAGTGATATAAAGATAAATCGATGACGTTTGCAGTCTTAGGAGCGACGCTTCGTGTCACTCGATCACTTACGGGAGCAATGCCGGAGAAACGATAATTCATTATGCTAACGAGACAGGCTGCCACCGACGGTGACTGATTACTTTATGCCCTCGCATAAACATGAGCCGCAAAGATCGCCCCACATAAAAAACGCGGTGTGGGCGTATGTAAATTGCGGGCTTTGAAATAACGTTATGGCCCATTTAAATTTCTCCTTCCGGGGCGTGATTGACGAAATCGCTGACATAGCTCCGACCTTTTGGCCGGAGGGTTGTTTCTAGTGTATGCGCGATTTCATGGTTTCACCATGTGCGATAGTAACAGTAATGACCCAAGAAAAAATACCTTTGGTATTTTTTACTGATGGAAAAGTGTCCAATGCGAGTTCTTCAATGATCAGAGGAAACAATTATAAATCTATCATTATTTTTGTATTGAATGCATAGCATCAAGATTTTTATTAAAACATTGAAGTATGTCTTGGTTGCAATTCAGCCTTCCATGTTGTTTTTCGTAACCAATTAAAGCTCAATTAACTTAAAATTCCAAATGCCAAATCCCTAGTATACCTAGTCTCAATCACATTACCTACATCTGTACGTCTTTTTATTGTGAGCTCTTGACCCAGCTGACCTATTTGCTTTATTGTACAAAGAAGAATCGATATATTTTGTTTTTCTGCAGTTTACTATATAAGCAATCAACCAAGATATAAATAAATAGGTTACAAAGTACAGGCGAAATAACAAAGACAGTTTGTTTACTAATACGGCTTTATTACTGATATCAATACATAAATTAACATTCACATCGGTTGATAACATATTGATAACGTGAATTCTACATTAAACGCGATCGAACTGTTTCAACACGCAGAAACTTTAGCATTATCGGAGGAGGCGTGACCGATATAGTTATAAAATCGCTAGGGCTGAAATTAGAAGTATCATCAGATAAAGGTAAAGATACAAGGTAGTGTGAAATCTGTGGATAAACATAAAAAAATGCAGGGAAACCTTTAAAAATAACTGTAGTCAAAAAGACATGAGCTCATCCCGGGAAGAACAAAGATCTCCTTAAACATCAGCGTGAAGCAGAAGATACTTTTGTGTTTTGTCCACTTCTTTTAAAGGATAGCAACGCACCTGAAATCCCTCAGGCGATGTAGATGTCAGTGACGGTTATCACTAGCACCTTGTATATCGTTTACTTGCTTGCACATATCACAAAATAAAGACATAAGAATATATAGGCTTATATAGTAGATATGGGCAAATACAAAAGTAGATATAGGCAGCCCCTCAGGCGGTGTATATTACCACGGCCATCGTCACTCGCATCGTGTACACTATCATACCGACTTATCACGTAATAAAGATAAAAGTGGATATACAGTTGAATATAGAAAATAACCCTAAGGGTAAATCGAGTATACAGATGACAATAAAAATTGAGATACAAGTAATGATACTACCTTAGTAATGATAATATCGTGTTTTTAATACTGTTACCGTGAATTATTCGGGCCTTACGCGGCCGTGCTTGGATGCGGTGTGGTGCACCAGCAACTTCTTGTAGTGGAACGAGCGGGGGCAGTACGAGCACTTGTACGGTCGGTCGCCCGTGTGCACGCTGCCGTGCCGCTTCAACTGCACCGCAGTCGGGAAGCACTTGTCGCACAGGTGGCATCTGTACGGCCGTTGGCCGGTGTGCTTCCTCATGTGGATCTTGAGCTGCGCCTTCGCCTTATAGCGGGCGCCGCAGCTTTCGCACGCGTGCGGCCTCTCGCCGGTGTGCCAGAAGGCGTGACTTTTGAGGGAGGCCGCGGAGGTGAAGCGCTTGGCGCAGACCTCGCACTGGAAGTGTCTCGCCTTGCCGACATGCTTTAAGTGCTCTTTCAGGTTCGCGGGGCATTTGAAGGTTTTGCCGCAGTGAGGGCACTGGACCGGCTCCACCGTGTGGACGGTGTTCAGATGCTCCTGAAACGCCGCCCTAACGCTTTTAGTCCTCGAGGCCGCACGCTAATCGCTTGCGTATCTTTGGTATAGGTGAAAGTTCGTAACGGGGAATGTTGACAGATTTATAATAATAATAATAATAATATACTTTATTGTACACCAAAAATCAAAATGAAAAAGTACAAAAAACAAAATATTTAACAAAATATTGGTCATCAAAAGGCGGCCTTATTGCTACACAGCAATTTCTTCCAGGCAACCTCAAAAATTTACAGTATTAAAAAATCTACTTACATCCAAAAAAAATTTGATTGGTGGGTGGTTTTAGTATAAACATTATGTGGGAATAAAATATAAACGAAAAGAGAATCGTTTCAGTATAATTCCTTTTTTTTTGTATTAGATATGCATGTCTAACTTAATGTTGTTCATTTCACTCTTTGAAGTTCAAACAGTCTATCGTTTTCTTTTCGATGACCACCATTTTTAAACACTTACATGACATCTTAATTAAATTAGTTAGATAGAAGATTAAGTCAGAAATTAGAGCAAGTGTTGTAAGGGCAAGCACTGAAAAGGGTTGGAAAACCCCCAGCCACCGATTAGCTAATTGCACAGTCGACGGCCATCGGGGTTTCGGTCCGAACCACGACCTTGATGGCCCTTAGATGACGTACCATAGTTAAACGCACGCATGAGCACATGCGTGGCCCTACCCACAGCGGAGGGCTCAAACCCGTGGGTTCTGGCTAGCCCACCGGTTCTGCGTCAGATGAAGCTTTAATAGTCTCGGGACTGAAAGCAAAAACATCAGTTAATACAAGATACAAGAAGGATTGGAAAAGAATTCCCAAGTTTCCGATTTGTAATGCATTGTCTTACATTAGAAACTTAATACCCTATAAAGAATGTACCATACAACATGTGGCGTCCCATACTGACCTTTAAATACGACGCTCGCTTAAATCCCTTCCCGCATACGTCGCAAATGGAGCCCCTGACATTCGAATGCTCGGCGAGATGGGTCTTTATTTGGTGGCGGAATAGGAATCTGCGAAAGAGCAGACGGGTAAGCCGGAGACAATCACGAGTCAAGTAAATACAGTGGATAAGTTTTCAGCCCCAGGTTTCCCACGGGTTAGTTTCGATCGTAAATCGTGCCTCTCATTGTTTACACTCTGCTTGTCTGCATACAGTTTTCTTCATCGAACTCTTTGTAATGAGGTCAGAATTTCCGTTAGAGATAGCGCTTTCGAAGAAACAAACTTCAGTAATTCTATACTTCCCAATATTTTTTTGTTCACTTGAAATTTCGCGCACGTATTTAAAAAGCGATAAAAATACAATATTGATAAAATTAAAATTTTGTATTGCAAACAAAATCTACACAATGAGACTAAACAAGTAGTAAAGTGGCGAAATTAATTAATTTACACAATTAACACAAGAAACCAGAAGACTCTATACCGAAGAAACAAACTCAACAGAAGATAACGAGGATGCGGCTTTTAAAAATATTTGATAGGTTATAAGTAATAAATCAACTGAAAATAAAGTCGATAAAATACAAGTGATATTTTATTACAATTAAAATTAATTAGAACATTACCGCGACGGCAGATCTACTCACTTATTTCCGCAGAGGTCGCAGATATACTTGCCGCCCTCATGCAGCCTCTCGTGATTCCGCCAAGCGGTGTAGCATCTGAACGCTTTGCGGCAGACGGTGCAAAGACCACCACTCCTGTTCAGGTGCACCGATCTATAGTGGAACTGCAACCTCATGGGCGTGGCACACCTCTTGTTGCAAATGTGACAGGCGCGGTTCTCCATCTTCGAGAAGAACTCGTAAGGTTGGTGGAGAGACCTATGGGGGGAAGAGGAATAGATAGATAGACGCCCATCCGTGTACGAAACGTCGATGATATATTGTTTCTTAAAACTGTTCTAGGTGTTTCATCGTGTATAATGTTGTTTCGATATCCAATATATACAGTACATACCTTTGACCGTAAACGTCGCGACAATAAAATGTTCTAAGGATATTATATCTGTGAAAGAGTTTTATTGAAAATCTACATTTTTGTAAATTTAAGAAATCATCACAGACCGCAAAAAACTACAATTTCATAATAGCAATATTTTATAACATACAGAAATTGGTCAAACGCAACTAATTTTAAGAATTTTTATAGTTTTTAATCTCGATTTTAACTCTCGTTTTAAACAACCAAAATTAAATGCAATCAATCAGTAAAAGAATTGTTTCATTTAACAATGCGCATAAATAAAAGAAATCATTAAATGCCCCTGTCGAGTGTTGTTATAATTGGTTCTGATTAACCAATAGAAACTAAAGACATGCGATGACTAAATTACAATTTTATAAGTTATAAATAATGTCCACTTAGAACTCTTATCAGGTTGCAAACCTTTTTTTTTCGCAGACTGGCTGAAAAAAAGTTCTATTCATCTAAAATCGGCTGATGGCCTAAAATATTAAAGCACGAGTCAAATGGTCGAATATAGTCGAGACAGATTTTTTGCGGTTCCGAGTTTCCATAGTACGGAAATATTGGATTGGGGAAAGAGAACAAAATTCATAATTAGCTTAAGGTATAAGACTATATGAGAGCGTTGGATATTTGTTCAACATACATGTAAAAAAATCTGGATCTAATACGGACCGGTACACCGCACAATGAAATGGGAATCCATTTCAAATTACCCTTCCAATAAGAATAGAAAAAAAAAAATCAACTAAGTGAACATACTAAATTTGGATTCATCGAATAATGCCGTTGTTCGCCCATTTAGGGATGTATTAGGGCGTGTACACGATTCTCATTGTGTTCCACGATCCTTTCCAACCTACGCAATTTCGTATAGCCCCAACAAACCCCTTGTCGATTCCTCCCTAATTCCCCCCGCGCAGTTAACGATACGATCCATTTAAAACTACCTACGAACAAATTCTACGACTAAATTTAGAACAGTAATACACACTTAATCTATGAACATCTAAATTTTCCTAAATGTTTTATTTCGAAGCTTGTAATGAGAGACAATTTTAAAAACAGAATTCGTTTTTGCATTTACAGACAGTCTTATTGCGAACAAAAACAACTGAAAAATTGATACATCATTGACTGTGTAAAATCATATTATCACGATCTTAGTACTTGTATGATTTCATCAACATCATCGTCGTTTCACCACAGACTGCCACGAAGCAAGATCCTGAGCCACCTGATTTCCCGTACACTTGCACAGGTCATCACTCCATCTAGTGGGGGTATGTCCTACACTGCAGTGTAGGATGACCAGAACGAGGCTGCCACTCTAGAAACTTTCTTCTCCCACAGTCGGTTCTACTAGCTATATCGCCATTTCAGCTTACTAATCTGCTGAGCTCTGACGGTTATCTTTGTTCTACTGCCGAAGTCGTCAATACAAACTCTATTTTTGCTTATACTATACGGCGTGTCTTTACAATCGCGACAATAAATGACATATAGAGCATAACTTTTTTAAATTGTATTAAACATTTACGTTCTTTAAACATCAATATTTACCGAGTTATTAAATTTTCCAAAACAAAGAATATTAGAACACCCTTACGTATTAAACTGTAACGTAAAGTTTATTTGTAAAGGTCACACAGCATATGAATTGGTTGAATGAATTTAAAAGAGACAGACCATACTGTTAGAAGGAGAGGCTTGTAATGCGACGCTGTGGCAAAGAATGAAACAGTCTCTGATTGTATAAATCAGTCAGTTGTAGTCAGTATAGGGTGTTACAAATTTTGTTTCTTTTTTACTTAATTAGTTTGAAAAATCTTTTTTTTAATTATGGATTTCTTTTAATGTTAATATTTTTTATGATTATTGGCAAGTAGCGTTAGACTTGTGTTCATTTATTGTCGCGGTTGTAACGACACGCTGTATAAAGTAACATAAATCACCTATGTCCAATCAACTCAGCGATGTCTTTCCCAACATAGGCGCATAACTTGCATCGCATATCGTTTTCCATCCAATGCTCATGCAAATGTTTCTTCATATCGTCGCGACTGGCTGACGCGAACTCGCATATACCTAAAAACACGTACAATCGTAAAATCCGCAAAATCCACTAATAGCTTCGACGTAGCCATCAACTGTGAATCGAAGTGTTGAAGATCATCAAGGATTCAAAATTATCAAAGATTATTATCATATGTTCGCTGTGTATAAATAAAAGAATTGTATCTTCAACTATGGTTTACTCACCACAAAATAATTCAATGTCTGTGTTCTCGTCTACGGAAATTGGTGTTCTAAATTTTCTCACTAACACTAGTTTATTAACATCCACGTGATTGTAACATGATTGCATCATATGCTTAATCAGGCATTTGGCTTTTTCTGAAATCATTTCTCAAATATGACCTATGTAAAAGTAAAGTAAAAATAATAGCCTACACATGTCCCACTGCTGGGCAAAGGCCTCCTCTATACAGAGGGTATCATGGACCACCACACGGCCCCACTGCGTTGACTTTACATATTTTCAAAGTATACTTTTTTTTGTTATTATTTCGAAGAATATGCAGGTTTCTTCACAATGTTTTCCTTAATCGCTGAGGCATGATAAGTCAGCACTTAAAATTAACAATTTCATTGGTGCCAGCACCGGGGATAGAACTTAGGTAGCAACAATTTAAGACGAGCGCCCGTACACTGAGATATCACGACTTACCTATGTATTAGAAAAATTCCAAACAAATCAAAAGAAAAACTTTAAATACATAATACATGACAAAATGAGTTAACAAAGTTGTTAGTCACTCTTATAAGATTTTCATTCAAGATTACCTAATTATATTAATGTCTATTATGACTTGATTATATAATCAAATAATAATATATAACCAAAGCACTATTATCATATCAAAGTTCATCATATTATCATTCATAAATAAACTACATAGAGGCATAGAAAATGTCATTAAATTACTGCCATTGTGTCAAAAAGTACAGAGACAATTAGTATCCAGTAAATAAATAATGAAAAACATACTGCAGCAAAAGAATTCAGCTTATCTTATTAATTTCCTCATAAGAAATTAAAATACTCAACATATTGTGCAAACAATGCACAGTATTTATACCAGTTTTAATTACCTAGTCCATGATCACAAGGCAGACAATGAACGAATAAATGTTTTAACAAAGTGTATTTGTGCAAACATAAAAATTGTTACAATAAAATTTTCTAAACTTTCTTTACGCATTCCAAAACATTGCTAATGTTTCATACTTAAAAAATAAATGATTCCTTCACTAAATCTTGTGATCTGAAAGAAAACAATAGACTTACGGTATTGTTTTTTACATTTGCTGCACTCCAAAACTTTAACCAAGCCTTCGTTCTCACAGCTATCATAGTTTTCTTGTTTATATTTAATGATCACATTTCGTAAGTCCAATTCCTGATATCTCTTATACTTAGGTGCAGAGTCCGTTCTTTCTCTATGATCATTTTCATCTTCGGACGTTTCAACATCATCATTCAAGGAATTGTCATGTGAGGTACTTGAATCTTCTGGTAGATCGTCTATAGAATCATTTTCTTTTTTGACTTCAATAGAAGTGTTACTTTCTTCATAATATTTCTAAAATATTTTTTAAAAAAGTTATCTTAAATAACTAAATTACATATTTCAATCATTTCAGTTTCTAAAATGACTAAACAGTTTTTAATTTTTTTTTTTTTTTATTTAAACTGGTGTTTTGTATAATGCAGTAGAAATCTTTACATATTATAATACAAAGTCCGCCTGCCTTGTTTGTATGCTTTGATCTTTTAAACTACGCAATGGATTTTAATACAGTTCTCAACAATAGATAGATTGATTCAAGAGAAAGGTTTGTATGTAGTATACCAACATAATTTTATAGTAGAGACCAAAATTCAAACTGCAAACGCCAGCTACACCTTACAATATAGATCAAATTAATAAATATAATTTTTATGGCGCACAGCATGAAAAAAAAAATAGATTAAAATTATAAGTACCACCCGTGCGCAGCTGGGGCGGGTCGCTAGTGTGTCAATAAAATCAAATTAATGAATTAATAAAATTTGAATTTTACAATGAATACAAAATATTTAAAAAAAAATAATTGATAAATAGCTTCTTGATACATTTTAAGTCCCAGAATAAGCCGAGCTCACTAGCTATAACCAAAACTAGGTAACTGATAAGCTTCTTTTCTTTTGTAAAATGATAAATTTTACTGTTTTAATAAAATAATGTGTTAATGCACAAGATTTTTTTCACTTGTCGGGATCAAATCTATAATTCATAATATGGTCTGACTGAGACGGGTTCTCTATCCACTACACTGGTTAGCTCCTATGCAAAAATATTATATATTAAATCCCATACTTACCCCTTGGTTAAGATAAGATTTCCAAACCTTATATGATTTACGGCATTTCTTTTTGAAGTGAGCATATTCTTTAATATTTTTTACACATTTATTACATAAAAATTGTGGTAAATCTGGTGAGACCTAAAAACAAGACTTAATTAAACATACAAAATTACACTTTATTATCACATTGTTTGAATTTATGTTACATGTTGTCACAAAGTTTATGAAATTATTAATCATATAATTATTGAAATTATTATCAATTAAATAATTCATACAAATTGACTGTTCTTCATTTTAAATCAACATGATTAAAAATAATTTACATACTATAGAAAATTAATTTTCTATATGATATTCATATCTGTCAAACCTCCTGAAATACATACATTATCACCGACTGTGTGATTACTTATAAAAATAACTAAAGTTGTTATAAAATTCATATTTTGTGAAAAAATACTTAGTAGTTATGGGTACAATTTTGAAAAGAGTCACCTTTGTACAGGATCTGGGGATGTGGTGTGTCACTCCCCACTCCCCCCCTCCCGCCAGACACGAATAGTCATTTAATTGTACAATTTTTAATTGTATTTATTTAATTGATAATAATTAAATAAGAATATCATGGGAGAGGAGCCACAAAAGCTAACATGCTATACCTAACCTGTTCGAGTCAGATTAGTCTATGTCAGATCTATGACTCATTAATTAAAAAAAACTATAATCAAATAATTGGCCTATGACATCGCCTGATTCCCATATTTATCCCGTTGGCAGCAATGTTGTTTTCAGTTTTTAAGTCAAATTAATAAAATGGCAGACTTTCTTAGTGAAAACAACAAGTTTAAATTATTTTTTGTTTCTCAAAAACTATAAGCAACCGGAGAATTACGCTTGTGGATTAATTCATTAGTGATTTTTCTCTATCGTTTAAATTTTTATTATTATTCGCATCCTCTAAAACACTTAAATTTAATCAAAACTACGTCCTATTTCACATTTCATAAGATTTTGAGGAAATTATGGAAAATAGTTAAAAAAATGCAGTAAAAACCTCCTTAACCCCCACCCCACATAATTACTTACAAGTATTACTATAAAAACTTGCTGAAACTTTTATTTTAAATTTAAATTAGAATTTTGTAAGTATTCACTATTATTCATATAATTGCTTAGTATAGTAATATTAAGAGGTTTTTACTGCTGCTTTTCATATTTTTTTGTTTATCATGCCAATACATACATACAGTTAATAATTGTCATTGTTTGTTCATTACTTCTTTCTTCATAATTAAATAAAGAAAACCCCAATGATGACGATTTTGAAAATATTTTAAAATCACTTACAGGTATTCCAGTACAAAATTGATAGAGCTGTGATATATCACAGTTTTCTTTTAAGGTAACATATCTATCGCTGCTTGTTTCAAGACACGAACAACAAGTGTGAACAGTAATATTTTTATTAACTTCAAAATTAGAAGACATCTCTCTAATACATTGAATGAAAATGAAAAATAACAATATTTTATACTTTTGTTATTTGCTTTGATACCAGGAGATACTTAGTATGAAAATTGAAAAGTAAAAAGCTGTTTAATAAGTGTCACAATGTCACCCGAGTCTGGTTATTGATTTATTGACATGACACAATAGTTCAAATTATTGCCATACATAAAAAGTTATCAGAATTGGAAGATTCTTTTTTACATAAATATAGCGATACGCAACATACAAAAAAACGTGATACAGATTTTAAGAGTAAATTATTTTAATTTTTGCTTTGACAGCCTTGTCAAAAGCGTTTAGCGGGTAAATCAATAATAGTAGAAGATCCGAATCTAAATCGACCTTCACCGAGCTGATAATAGAATAAAATTTATTTTATAATAAATTTAGTATATTAGAAAATATATTAAAACTGGGTTGCCTAAAAAAATCATGGACAGAATATTTTTTTAATTTGTAAAAAAATGATTTTTCATGAAATGTTGCAACATTAAGATAATAGGAAAATATTATCCTGACTTGCAATATAAAATAAAAATATTTTTTTTTATATATTGTCCAATCAGTGAAAGTAACTGATACCGTCATACATGTTTACACCTGACAACTTGCATGAGCACATGCGTGGCCCTACTGACCGACCTACCCAGATGAAGCTTTAATAGTCTCGGGACTGAAAGCAAAAACATCAGTCAATACAAGATACAAAATACCTGACAACACAGTAGTTCGTCCAGGTAATTAATAGACAACCCAATGGCTGCACATTCTATATGTTATATATTGAAATCCAGGATAATATTTTCTTATTAATATCTTGATGTTGCAACATTTTATGAAAAATCATTTTTTAAAAAAATATTAAAAATATCCAGGATTTTTTAGGCAACACAGTTATAATATATTTTCTAATATACCACTGAATACATACATCGCATCGATACGAGTCAATTTACAGATTGTCTGAGCGAGACAATGCTTAGAATGTTTAAGCATTTTATATTTACGTTTCATAAATTGTTACATGGAACATTTAATAATCATTGAATTTACATATCCGTTTGAAGCCAGAAAACCAAGCCAGTAATTATACATGATATGGTTTGATACATGATGAATACATATTTTTTTGTATATAGTGCGATGATATTATTACACTACGTTATCTATTATTGCCAACCAGTACACCTTAACGAGCGGGTCAGATATAGGCCATTTAATTGACTTTACTGCCAAACCGGCTATTTTTAAGTGATTTAGTCTTCAGTTGGCCGTTAATAACTTCGACATATATGCATAATTCAAAACCAATCAATATTGCACGTTGACATTCTAATTCTAAATCACGCTAAATTATCTGCGTAGATTAATACGTCGTTATTTAACCCTTACAGGACCATAAGATGTCCAAGACTAAATATGCCGATACAACACAACATTTTAGCTATTGTGGGTATAAAGTAAGAGGATATCTGCAGAAAAACATAGAAGGGTGTATAGGTTTCCTATAATTTCATGGGAAATATTTTTCCCTATGGACCATAAAAGTAAATAAATAAAGAGTAAGGTTCATTTTATCGGTATTTTATTTATTGCTTTGTAATACAAAAAACACAGTAAAAATTATCAGAAAAGTAAAATAAATAATTAGTTATGGTATTCTACGAAACAAATTCGTTTACTTGTGAAGCACAAGTGGACATTGCACATAACACATTTATTATGTGTCCTATTTTCTATACGTCGTTTTGTTGCTTCAGATTTCTGCTTTTTTCATGATGTGCGGTGGCAAACTGACGTTTATTTCCAATGCGGAGCTTTTCAGAGGAGACTTAAGTGATTCTTGTTTGCTGTCTACATGTAAAATATCGGAATACTTGGCGTCGTCGAAATCTCGAGCAATGTCCAGTTCCGGAGTCAATTGGAAAGTAAGGCCAAATTGGCTTCAAAGAAGCCAATTTGGCCTTACTTTCGGTTCGCCCACACCTATCACGGGGATAGTTCCGTTAAGAATTGTTTGGATTGATTCCGGCGGCTGAATTTCACCATCGGACATCGCGTCAGAACCAAAAAAATTTCATCCACACCACCTCGATTTCCAGCGTTCCACAACAGCGAGATTTTCAAGACATTTACTGCCTCGTACAACCGCTCTGTGGAACCAGCTGCCGCCGGTGTGTCATAAAAGAGACCATACTCTTTCCTAAAAGGCTTGCAACGCATTTGTAAACCCTCTGATGTTGCAGGTGTCCATGGGCGGCGGTGACACTTACCATCAGGTGAGCCTCCTGCTCGTTTGCCGCTTTCTTCCCATAAAAAAAAAATATTAGACCTCGTGCTACATGTTGGTGATACTTCTTGAACAGAATCTTCAATTTCAACATTATTGGTTCCATTTTCTACATCTTGAGCTATGAACTGCTGGTCTTCTTCGTCTAACTGTAGTCAGTAGTAAGTTATCTTCTCCGTCACTACTATCGCCATAAGTAACTGCAATATTTCTTCATCTTGAATATGAAATTCTCTGCAATTTTAGTCTTTTCTGTAAAAAACCATGAACTTAAATTGTATAAAATACAATAAAATACAAGAAATCCCTACATTATCATAAAGCACTACATATAACAATATGTAGTGCTTTATGTAATGTACGTAAGCTATACAACAAATACACCAGATATGGACCAGAGGGAAAAATATTTCCCTTTAGATGATTTGCAATTTTCAGGTACTTGTGCTAATGTTCTGCAGTTTACTGTATTATTAACTAAAATTATACTTACCAAATAATGTAAAACACATGACAAAATAAAGTTATTTTATTTTCTCAAGTCCAAAACACTTCCTAGATATTATTAGTTCAGCCCGCGAATGTTTTGGTTCTGGCGCAATAAAGTTTGACAGTTATTTTTTTTGTTTATTCTTTCAGAAACACATTTGCCGCCTTGGACATACGTTTTATTTTGACATTTAGTAAAAAAAACATCGATTCAATAATAATTGAACAATCGATAATGATTTTTGTAGAAGGGAAAAATATTTCCCTTGGACGTGAAAGGGTTAAGGATCAATAATTGCTTTGTTTCAATAAAGTTTGACAAAACTATAAAATTATTATGATTTGGTTGACGCAGCTGCTTAGCTATTTCTCCGGCGTCATGGCAAGTATTTCTCAGGTCAAAATTTAGAGCTACGTTGGTCTTCACCCTAAAGACGTATCCAGGCATCATCGGAGAAAAATATTAACAGTATTTTTGAATTCTTAGCAAGGGAATTTTGAGCAAATATACTGAATTTGATAATACGGTGTTCACTGCGTAACTTGGGGCCGCGGACTGAACGATGACTGCGTATGCTGGCGGCAAGAAGTCATTAGACTATTTTGCTCATTTTTTTAGTTCTGCGAGTTTATTTTTAGATCCACATACGAATATTGATTTCTCAACGCTTAACGCACCAAAAGACGATCATCACGTGGTTTCATACAAAGTTTTGTCCAGAATCACGCCTTTTCCCTACGGAACCGGAATTATTAGACGACTTAACTTAACCAAACACAAAACCACCGGTTTATTTTGCATGTGACTGTACATCTGAGGAGTTTCGTAGAAACGTACTAATAAAATTCTTGTAGGAGCAGTAATATATGAAAATATACGAAACTACTTCCTTTAAAACTGTGTCTAAAAATAAGTCATTAAAATATTAATGACGTATTAGAACAACTTTTTAGTATAGGTAACATTTAGTCGCACTTTTACCAATTTACTAAATCAGTTCCGTAGATTTTATATCAGATTTCCTTATCTCATCCTTATCCCTTTAGGCGAAAATGTTTTTAGTAAGCACTGTTTTTATAAAAAAATCGCCAATTAGATATATTGTTAAAAAAAAGTGCCGTTCAAAAGTATTGTTTTGACTAGCTGCTATTCTATAATAGAACAATTACTATTACTTCACGATACTGTGCACTGAAATATAACTGTTTAAAATAAAACATCCATAGTCGGCGAAAGTTTTTTAAATTCCACTCTATTGTTGATTAATTCATTGTAACGCCACATCTCTACCATTCGTTACAATGTTGATTTTAATGCATCCAGAAGTTACGAAACTACTAACAACCTTTGCGCTGGGTAAAGTTGGAAACGGCCTTAAATTCCGTTCATTAATGTGGCTACTGTGTAAAATCCAGTGCTTGCTGAAAGCTGTTCATAACTTTCTCACTTCTGGTGAACTCCTATGCGATATTGCCTCGTATGTGTGAACACCTTTTGTTAGTATTATGTTTAATTTGTTTGAATCATATGCTACCCATACCTACAAAATTATGTAAATGGCTATTAGTACAATCCCAAAACTGAAGTAAATACTATGATAATTGATATCACCTAACCATTCCTAATCTTATTCGGATTACTTTATTAACATTATTTGAATCATACGCTACCTCTACCTCTACATTTATGTATATAGGCTATTTGAAGTAAATACTATGATAATTGATATCACCTAACCATTCCTAATCTTATTCGGATTACTTTATTAACATTATTTGAATCATACGCTACCTCTACCTCTACATTTATGTATATAGGCTATTAGTAAAATCCTAAAACTGAAGTTAATACTATGATAATTGATATCACCTAACCATTCCTAATCTTATTCGCATTACGTTATTAACATTATTTGAATCAAACGCTACCTCTACCTCTACATTTATGTATATAGGCTATTAGTAAAATCCTAAAACTGAAGTTAATACTATGATAATTGAAATCACCTAACCATTCCTAATCTTATTCGCATTACGTTATTAACATTATTTAAATCAAACGCTACCTCTACCTCTACATTTATGTATATAGGCTATTAGTAGAATCCTAAAACTGAAGTTAATACTATGATAATTGATATCACCTAACCATTCCTAATCTTATTCGTATTATGTTATTAACATTTTTTGAATCAAACGC